ATAACATAAGTGGACTTTGAACGATTAATTGCCACTTTGAACGATTACATAATTGTGCCATCCATAATTGTAATTGCGATTAGAAATTCGATTAATTGTGCAGCCCTAATTAAGAAGTACATCACAATATGGAAGAATTGATCTTTACGACGTTAATAGCTTTTCATCAAATTATAAATCCCCTACAGTTCCCTCACAAACCTCCAGTTTGGCAAACCCTGCCTCAAATGAACCATTCCTTGTTTATTTCAAAAATGACTCTCAGTTTTGTGAGTCAATTTGTGACCTCAGTATGGCTCTGAATGATTCACTTACAAAGTGAGTCTGATTTAAACCGCTAACTCACAAGTAAGTTCAAGATTTTTTTGTGAACCTTTCTGATTGACTCATTAAAAATGCACAATAAAGGCTCTGTAGGCATTTAAGTAGATTGACAGATTGTCTTTCTTCAATGTGACTGTCATCAACGCATTGGTTTTTATATAGAATTTGTTGAATTATAGCTGTGAAATGTTTTTGTGAAATGTTTCTGCAGCATTGATAGAGTAACAAGTCTTGAATTAGTACAGTGCATTTCAGATTAAGTTTTTCTCCAAAACACTTTTTTTTTGTGGAGGGTGAGAATTTCCTTTCATCTGATAAACTGCAGCAGTGAGTGATTCATTAACTTGAGAATGGCCCTTATCGTGCCCTATTTCCTCCCTCACTGATAGAAAGAAGAAATCCGCAGTGCTTACTGCAAACTGTCAATCCGTGCCTTGCATTTTACTCTGCATCATATTGTTTTTGATTCCTGTGTCATCTTCAATTTCATTCTTAAATCAATGCTAAACTATTAAAATGAAAATGTTTTGAGTTTGTAATCATATGCTGTCCTCGTGTGTTTATCAGGAGCTCTCCTTGTTTTCATTTCTGTTTTCAGGAAAAAGGTCTGATCGAACATCTGCCTCATAATTGTTTAAATCTGGGAAAATTCTGGTGCACACTATCCGGAATACAATGTGGCCTTTTTAATACGGTCTTCCTTTAAAGGGGTCATATGATGTTGCTAAAAAGAACATTATTTGGTGTATTTGGTGTAATGAAATGTTTATGCGGTTTAAGGTTAAAAAAACACATTATTTTCCACATACTGTACATTATTGTTTCTCCTCTATGCCCCGCCTTCTGAAACGCATCGATTTTTACAAAGCTCATCGGTCTGAAAGGCGAGGTGTGCTGTGATTGGCCAGCTATCCAGCGCGTTGTGATTGGTCGAATACCTCAAGTGTGTGACGGAAATGTTACGTCCCTTACCATATTGTGATGCCGTGTCCCGGCCGGAGCGACGAGACAAAAACATTAAAACCCATTATAAACGAGACATTTGTTGCATCCAGTGGGGACATAATGACGGATTATAATGATCTAT